ATATACTTAGTATTGTTAGTTAGACTGACACTCCAAAAAGAAAAGAAATAGACTAGTGTTACCGAAAGTACTCAAAATGACTAGTGTACTATAACGCATCTCTGCGGAAAGAAAGAATATTCAGGGGGCAGCTTTTATAGTAAACACACTGCTTGCCAACCCAGAAGTATACATAAGTTTCGCGTTAATTTACTGAACTCTCACAAGGAAAAAACAAGAATCACCATGTTTTGAACTCAGGGTTGTTGCTTGCACTTTCGAAGAGTACTATTCATGTGTTTTACTAATCCGTTCAATTAGCTACGATGACATTCCATCTAGAACTCAGGAAACAGAGGTGCGCACGGGCATCCTTACGTTCAAAGGTCCTAAGTTAGAAACGACCCTTTGGGGATGATATCGTCTGAAGCTGAGAATGCTGATGTGTACTCGTGATGAGTTCTGGTAAATTTTTTTTACTAACTGCGGCTTCATGTGACCCATCCAGAATATTCGTTTCATACTTGGCGAATAATATATTTTGAATATGAATTTAAAAACTTCTGGCATTACTAACAAGTATGATTAGCTGAAAATAGGCATAAGATGCTGGTCTGATATAATCGTAACCTGTGATAGACAAAGGGCCACTTTCTTGAAGAAACCACAACAAAGACCTCGTCAGCTCAATTCAGTAGCTGGTTCCCGGAACAAGCCCAGCCTCAGGGCGGATGAGCATTACGATTCGCCCACGTTTCTGTAGTTAGTTCTGGCCAACATATATTGTTATATAGTTATGACAAGTTTTAAATACAATTTTCTATTCATGTAAGTGATGATCGAAGATCGAGGTGATCGAAATAAAGTCCGGCGTGCATATACTGATGACAACAATGATAGTACTCTTATCCAGTACTATCAGTCCTTCACTGGTTCAAGGTCTGCCAGCCCATGGGTTGAATTCAAGTGAGTCGAACGTGCCATGGAAACCGAGGAAACAGTAAGATAACTCTGACAAACTTACGTTGAGGGTTGACTTGAGGAGTTGGAGGGCATTCAAGTATTGGCTGTGGGCAAAAAGAGTGAATGAATCGGTTGGACGAAACACTGCATTGAAGAATCTGTTAGGCGCTATGGTGTGTTTCAGAAAGTGATGCAAAGGTGAGGAGGATTGGGCTGGCCATATCTGACAGGCGGAAGAATCGCTCGGTCTTTTTCCAACCTTCTTATGCTGTTTATGTGTAAAAGTTGGATAAATTATCTTCGGCTTATTCCGTATAGAAACTCGTATACTTTCTTCAGGTGTTATTTAAGGATTGGCCTCTTCTGAAGAAGGTAGTCGTGAGAAAACTACTCACAAGGTTGCTGAAAACTCTTCGACAGCCCACGACCGGTTTCGCCCTTCTTGGAGCTCATCAGGTAGACGCATTTCCCGAGTTTCCATCAACCTTATGTTTTACTAAAACCCAAATTAGACTGATTTCGAGAAATACACTCATTTGCAAATCAATTTGGTTTTCACGAGAGACTCAACTGAATCTCTCGTTTATGATGTTCTACAATTGTGAGTAGTTTCCTTTATGAAAATGTCCTGCGATATCTCGAATATCGTGCCAACTGATTCATGAGGCGGCCTGTGTGCAGCGCATTCGGTTGTGGAATATCATAAGTGAGAGATTCAGTTGAGCCTCTCGTGAAGACCAAACTGATTTTCAAATGAGTGTATTTCTCGATAACCATGAGAAGCTTCAGGAGACCAACCAAAATGGACCTTTCTCAAGTTTCACTTCCTTATATGAGTGACATTTATGTACGAACAGTTGTGTCATGTTCTTCTGTGTCAGTTAACAACAAACCTTTTCAGCACGTTTACCTTCAAAAGTTTTCAAAGATAGCTGTGGCCGAACCTCAATGAACAGATTTTCCTTTTGTCCCTCATTGCCAAAGAAGTTCATTACTTGTCTAGCAGCTGGATCACTGATCAAGTAAAAATAGCATTTAAAAAACACGTAGTTTTGGTATGAATATATCTCAGAAGGCTTCACCAGCCATCACAAACATGCAGCGAGAATGTACTAGGACAAAAAGCACCGTAAGGGGTCTGAAGTGAGGACAGTCAAACTATTGTGAGATTCACACAAACAACGGTAGTGTAAAGTTGTGGCCTGTAGCGTGTATTCACTCACAGAAAACAGCTTAGAGGTATACAATGTTCACACTTTACATTGAAATAGGAAAAGTTCTTTCAACCAAAGGCACTAGTAGGAGATGGTCCCTCAACCAAATGTCCCTTCTATGACGACCTTTTTCACAAGTCCTTTGTCACTACACGACATCAGCAGAACGTTTGAAACGTCGGTGGTCAAAAACGTCAAGGCGCGTTAAAATACCTGTCCTCTGAGGCCATATCTCGCAACCGTGAAGCAAAAGAGCAATACTCTGACTTGGCTTATATGACGCTTGATATTTATTGATATGACGCCACATGTAATTCAAATTAGAAATTGTGATTCGAACCTTTGAGATTCACGCACTGACTTCATCAGTGGCACTCTCTCAGAGCTAATACGACCATCGAGTTACGTAGGATTCCCCATAACCGCCACTACTTCGCCTTAAGTCCTAACTGGTATGTTCAGAGGCTGCACATTCTGAAGCACGACTATACAGTGCAAAGTTGCAGTGCCGTAAAATGGTATGATGGTTGCCAGTTTATGCGACGGTTTAGTGTTCAAAAGTTAACCGGAGGATCGAGAGCATGAATCTCTCTCGGTGTTGTTGGGATGAGTCCAGAAACGCTTCATTCGCAGCATAAAATTTCGATTGAGATGCAGTTCGTTTGTTGCACAGATCGAAGCCGTGGAAAACCTGTTTGTGTCACAAGGGCATGCCTCACAGTCAGGTCACCAGTGTGCAACTGTGGAAACTGTTACAGACATCTGTGGAAGTCAGTTATTTCCAGATCGCATACAGCGCTTTTTACAGCCAGTCGACACCTGCCAAACCGTGATTCAATTTTTCGCCTGTTTGTTCTGAAGACGACCCCAGTCTTACTTGTTCCCTTCGCTCGGATATGGGGACCAAGCATATTTGTCCCTGATCACCCTATCACACCTGATCACACCTGTCTGATGGAAACTGAATGAGAATCGTAACGGTCCCTTGAGTTCGGCCAGCCCGCGACGCACTTATACCAAAGAACTTGAGAATCGATAATGAATCGAAAAGGAACATGTTCACGTGCGTGCCTGTGCATGTTCACGCAAGGCATCCTGTTGATGTCCTTGTAGTTGAACGATTTGCTCAGCTTACGGAAAAGAGTGCGCACTGTTGTATGCGAGCGTGAAGTTTTGATAGTTTAGGATATCTTAGTTCTTCACCGGGAAGCCAAAACACAGCTGTGATACACATTAGATGCACTTTATTGTGACTTTCAGTGATCTAAGATTAAGAGTATAAGGAACCGGAAGAAGAAATACACCGATATTGCGCATAATAAGGAGGCCAAAGGGACGCGGGATGTTTTCCTGCGAGTATAAACCAATGGCATTGCTTAAAGTTTTAGGAAGCCGCTGTCCTTCCGCACTTGTTTGCCTTTTTTCTAAGTGTCTACTTCCCACCCGGCAACAACTGGAATTCCATGTTGTCGGGGTGAGAATGTATCCACTTAAACTGACGTTTTTAGCGTACCACACCGACCCCTTGAACGAAGTCTAGCCTTTAGACTGTTTCAACAATAAATCATCATGGACCAGCGGCTCTCAAAACCCCAAACTCTTTCACGTTATCCGTACTGTTTTCGGCGACAAAATGATGGAACTAAAGAACACACTTCAGTTTTTAGCGTGCTGACATGATTTGCCTTTCCCACAGTATGTGGGTCCTCATGGGCGCCCAGTGGACAATATTTCAAAGACAATTTTTGGTGCTTTTTATCAAAGAGGGCGCTATTAATAGTTGCCATTTCCTAGAGTGGCAAACCAGGGAAGAAAAATAGCGCGAGGCAAGCACAAAAGGTCTCCTGACAGCCATTCAACGTATTTAAAATATTTTGACACATTTTGCTTTGGAAAATCATGCTCAGGATTTAAAAAAGTTCGTACTAAGAGTGCTTACCTTAGAAGAATAACATATTAGTTTGTTCTGATCAAGACGAACTTGGGATGAAAAATTCCATCCGTATCGACTTAAAACCGAGAGGATCGGAACCGGGAAAAGGGAATTCGATTGGTCTCGGTGGATTTTTCCGACCAAGTTGAAATTACCACCACTAATTAGGCGAACCATCACCCTTTCCGCTATCACCGCCACAGACATCATCAATGCAATGCAGTGCACTCCGCAAATGAACTTAAGAATCTCAAGTAGTAGAAGTTTGATTGCATCAATCGAATAGCTTAGCTCAGTTTTTGGGGTCCCTATATTGTATTGGTGTAAATGGCTATTCCATCTGTTTTTACAACGCTGGACAAATCAGGGGACAAAATGTATTCGCCAGATTGTATCTAGTTACGTACGCCGAATACGTAAAAGGATAGAAGACTGTACGACACTAACCTCGTATGACATCAAGTAGCTGAATTCCTGGAAGAAAGTTGAAACGTAATTTGTGAGAATCAAAAACGGGGAAAAATGATAAATAAACGTTTTTTATTCTTCATACACCATCCCTGAGTTGGTTCAGCATCACACCGAAAAACCTCTAAGTGGCACTGCGTAGTATGTTCCTGCTGTTTTTTCGACCTGGTTAAGCGGGCAACGCATCGCGATGATTAAGCTTGCTAATCGGGTCTGTGAGACCGCACAACTCAAGAGGAATCCGCTCACTAGCGCAGCAAGTAATGCTCGTTTTGATGCTGAATTTAGCGTAGCCCGAACCTGTTGAAGCAGAACACTAGGGACAGCACACACTATCGGTTCACCGGAGACAATCCTCCAGTGTGTGTTTACCATAGTGTACAAAAACTTCACTTACAAATCCATTCAGTTAAAGCGTTCAGTGATGAGGAAATTTTAGGCCTTGATTCAGACAAACTGCGCATGCTGGGAGGTCATAGTCCTTCGGAAAACTCCAAATAGCTCCTTCTCTTACAAATCCATTCAGTTAAAGCTTTCAGTGATGAGGAAATTTTAGGCCTTAATTCAGACAAACTGCGCATGCTGGGAGATCATAGTCCTTCGGAAAACTCCAAATAGCTGGATAGACAAAATGACCGTTTTCGTCGAAAGTGAACAGTCCAATACGGTTAGAGAATAGATCCTCAATTCACTTCTGCTTGGACGAATCTGTATCGCATTCTCAGCTTGCAAAAAAGGTCTACCTGAGTAAGCCGTTGTCTCAACAAACCGACGAAAGGCTTAGATTCCTTGTGTTCTGGTGTAGCTCAAGCCCTATATATGCCCTCCTCACATCGTCATATTTATTCCAATGGACTTGGGAAAATGTCAGTAGAATACATCTGATCTGTCACTTGTTTTCGAACGATGCAACAACCCAATGTGATCGTAGACTAATCAGGTTTTCACCTGATGGTTTTGAATGTACCTGGGAAATTAACTCCAATTTTACGATTACGTTGTGCTGTCAATATTGTGCTCCGCTGCCTAAAACTGACTCCATGTTTTGGCTTCAATAGTTGTAATGTCGAAGATGGGAAAAAAGTTCTTAGTGGAGCCTTAGACCTGAGGTATAAACCATATGGAGCAAGTCACGAGATCAGCCCTCTGATGCTACTGTCCCTCATATTCAAAAGAACCACGTATAACTCAGAAATTAAAGGCTTCTGGGAAGTTAACCTTCGAAAGTATTCCACATTCAATAATGAAAGGAGAATGGATGACAAAAGATGATGGTCTGTATGAATTATGTCCACTGAAGAAGAAAAATCTTACTTCTATATTTGACATTTCTTTTCTTTTGGTGCCTGGGCGGCAGCACCTCAGGACGCGATTTACTGGGCTAGACAAATACAGTTTCTTGACTTTATAACTTCGACGTCCATCCTTACTCTGGTTCAGGTGGTCAGCAACTGCTCATTGAACTGGCCCATCAGTAGTTTCATGGCGTTCGGTTTCTGCATCTCCAATGTCCATCCAACCGTACCTGCGTTTAGCCATTACTTTTACCACCAGCGTAAATGTAAAAGCGTGCATCTTTGCTTTTATCCGATGAATTGTTGTGTATTGTTGTGTATAAATACTTGCATAATTACTTGTATACTTGTATATATACTTATACACAGGTCAGCTTGCTTACAGGTGTTCACTCAGTGTTTCGTGGATATTCTTTCATTAGGGGTTTATCATATCATCGGTTAACCAACGTAATCCACATGTATTGTGGCCCCGGTGACTTCATCACAATTCAGTCCACTTAACTTGCGATATGCAAACACTCGTCAAGTACGTATTGCTATTTGACCTGGCCTTAGGTCATTCTGGATTACAGCGCTTCCGATACAGTTTATAAAATATTCAAATGGATAGTTTAAGAAGGCAAATGCCAAGGCTTACAGGATTTTTGGTACAGAAGAACATCTACTGGTTCTTCAAAAGACAGGCATCCGTCATTGAGAAGCTCGTGTTTACCGGTTAGATGACTAATTAGCCAAATATTGTGAGGACAAATAATGCTAGTTATGAAAAACAATATACCGCTTGCTCTGTCTCGACTGGACCTTCACCGGTAAATGTAGCAGGATAGATTGGGTGCTGATACTCTGTTAGGAGATTCCGTCGTCTACCGCAACACCACATTTGAGCGCGGGAATATGAACTGAGGTGATTTGTTGGTTCAGCCGGTACAAATCGCTTGTTGGGAAATACGGCTTGTTGGCCACAGTGATGCTGCAAAAAAACTTTGGAAAATTCAAAACAGGGCTTATCACTACCGGTCCAGCTGCACTGACCTGTCCAAAAGTGTGCACCCGGAAAATTCAGCTTCTAACCTTCAATTCTGTGTCTCACTGTTTCAGTTCTCAATAAATCCTCCAGAAGCATATTGGAACGTTTTGAATATCCGAGCAAATTTTCAGCACAGAGTAAAGAGATAGACCGATTAAATAACTCAGCATTCTCTCCCCGAACATTCGGAAATATGGAAAGGGGAACAACCATGAAAAACTCTAAAGACATGCTTCAACGAAGGAATCTTACCTCCAGACTTTCAATCAGTCTTTTCGGTTTGATGTTAAACCAACCTAGTACCTCAAGCATCATCTTTGATTGACAGTATATGTTCTGCTGCTCTGATTCTCTCAATTCGTGTCCTCGTCTCAAGATAGCCTCAAGATCGAGCAGAGTCATCATAAACAAAGAGGTCACGAGTGAGGCAAATTCTGGCGTCAAAACTTTTGAGCTGCGAGGAAAATGGGGGGCGGATCGGCATAAATTCATCAGGTTTTGAAGTTTAAATTGTCCGCTAACACTGGCAATGTTGCGAAAGTTTTATCACCCCCATTAGACTGATACCGTTAGTTTGTCATATCGTTACGGCGTTATCGACTTTGTAACTGGTAGTACACCACTCGTACTGTCAACCGTCGTCAAACAGATGAAAAGTTTCGCAAACGTTTTTGTGCACACACAATATTTTTCCACAGGAAGCTCCTGCTAGCTCCTGATATTTGCTTTTATCCTCATGAATACGGAGCTTTGCAACGAACAAGCCCTTCACCTCTAGGGGAAGTTAACCTTCGAAAGCATTCCACTTTCAATACGGCGGGGAAAATGGATGACCGAAGCTGATAGTTTGTATGAATCATGCCATCTTAAGAAGAAAAATCTTATTTCTATCAGGCACATTTCTTTTGCTTTGCCTTCTGCTCCGAAGAATCCATAAACCAGCTTGCTTCAATGGGATCACCTTCCATTTCCTGCAATCGATTTTCAAGCTGTGAAGCCCAGTGAGTCAGAAATTACACATTACTAGGTTACAAGCNACATTTCTTTTGCTGAAGTGCCTGGGCGGCAGCACCTCAGGACGCGATTTACTGGGCTAGACAAATACAGTTTCTTGACTTTATAACTTCGACGTCCATCCTTACTCTGGTTCAGGTGGTCAGCAACTGCTCATTGAACTGGCCCATCAGTAGTTTCATGGCGTTCGGTTTCTGCATCTCCAATGTCCATCCAACCGTACCTGCGTTTAGCCATTACTTTTACCACCAGCGTAAATGTAAAAGCGTGCATCTTTGCTTTTATCCGATGAATTGTTGTGTATTGTTGTGTATAAATACTTGCATAATTACTTGTATACTTGTATATATACTTATACACAGGTCAGCTTGCTTACAAGTGTTCACTCAGTGTTTCGTGGATATTCTTTCACTAGGGGTTTATCATATCATCGTTTAACCAAGGTAATCCACATGTATTGTGGCCCCGGTGACTTCATCACAATTCAGTCCACTTAACTTGCGATATGCAAACACAATGTATACTCGTCAAGTACGTATTGCTATTTGACCTGGCCTTAGGTCATTCTGGATTACAGCGCTTCCGATACAGTTTATAAAATATTCAAATGGATAGTTTAAGAAGGCAAATGCCAAGGCTTACAGGATTTTTGGAACAGAAGAACATCTACGGGTTCTTCAAAAGACAGGCATCCGTCATTGAGAAGCTCGTGTTTACCGGTTAGATGACTAATTAGCCAAATATTGTGAGGACAAATAATGCTAGTTATGAAAAACAATATACCGCTTGCTCTGTCTCGACTGGACCTTCACCGGTAAATGTAGCAGGATAGATTGGGTGCTGATACTCTGTTAGGAGATTCCGTCGTCTACCGCAACACCACATTTGAGCGCGGGAATATGAACTGAGGTGATTTGTTGGTTCAGCCGGTACAAATCGCTTGTTGGGAAATACGGCTTGTTGGCCACAGTGATGCTGCAAAAAAACTTTGGAAAATTCAAAACAGGGCTTATCACTACCGGTCCAGCTGCACTGACCTGTCCAAAAGTGTGCACCCGGAAAATTCAGCTTCTAACCTTCAATTCTGTGTCTCACTGTTTCAGTTCTCAATAAATCCTCCAGAAGCATATTGGAACGTT